ATAAGATCATCAGTACTGATCTTTAAAGGGCAAACATCCAGCTGCATTCAGTTTAATTAAAATTGTACAAATAATCGTATTGAATATTTTTGTCAAATTATAAATTTTATGGCTTATAGCTAAAGAGTCATCATTTTTTCGATGTCACTACACCTTGATTGTGAATTACTAGTCTCCGATGCCAAATGCAGCAGGTTCAAGTCCTTAATTGGTATTAAACCAATCTGAACAGTATTATTGTTGGGTTTGGAAAACATTGTGCAAAAGATGGCAATTAAAAGACCTTACATCATCATGATGTGCTATTTGAGTATGTGGCCACTGGTGCTGCCTGCCTTCACTCTGGACAGTAAAAATCTCCGTATTCCTTACACACTTTCTCTTCTGGCCTGTATCAGGAATAGTGTGGCCAGCAGGAGGAGGGAAGTGCTCGTGCACCTCGGCACTGGTGAGGCCGCCCCTTGAATCCTGTGTGCAGTTTTGGGCCCCTCACTACAAGAAGGATGTTGAGGTGCGGGAGCGTGTCCAGAGAAGGGCAACGAAGCTGGTGAGGGGTCTGGAGCACAAGTCTTATGAGGAGCGGCTGAGGGAACTGGGGTTGTTCAGTCTGGAGAAGAGGAGGCTGAGGGGAGACCTTATCGCTCTCTCCAACTACCTGAAAGGGGGTTGTGTCGAGGTGGGTGTTGGTCTCTTCTCCCAAGTAACCAGCGATAGGACAAGAGGAAATGGCCTCAAGTTGCGCCAGGGGAGGTTTAGATTGGATATTAGGAAAAATTTCTTCACTGAGAGGGTGGTCAAGCATGGGACCAGTCTGCCCAGGGAGGTGGTGGAGTCACCATCTCTGGAAGTGTTCAAAAAACGTGTGGATGTGGCGCTTCAGGACATGGTTTAGGGGACATGGTGGAGCTGGATTAATGATTGGACTTGATGATCTTGAAGGTCCTTTCCAACCTCAGTGATTCTGTGATTCTGTGATGTGAGACGCCTGCTGCCACCTCTTCTCCTCTGAGCTTCCACCCTCTGGTACAGTCGCCCAGATTTTCACTCCCTCAGGCAATAACATTGTGCAAACGTGTTTGGGAAGGAAGGTCACCTTTTTTTGTAGTGCTCTATCCCTTTCTGCATCTTCTGAACTGTCTGTCCAGACAGCTTTAAAAAAGTCCCTATAATTGCACTCCAGAATGGCCGTTCTTGCCATTTGTTATAAAGGTGGCCTGGATTCACCACGTTTAATGGAGGTGCTGGTGGTGTGGCTCTATGAAGCTCCAGTGGAGAGCCCAGCTCAGTCATCTTGATAACTTATGCATAGGCACTGACGGGTTGCTTTTAGGTCCCCCTGAAGCTTTTTCTTCTCTGGGTTGAAAAAGCCCAGTTCTTTCAGCTTCCAAATGTTCTATAGTAAAAAGTATCATAATAAAAACTTTCAGATTTTTTTTTTCCTTAGGTTTGTGAAGGTTGCAGAGCCACTTGGGGAAATTTCAGTCTTTATTCTCATAACTGTCAAGGGGGGTAAAACTTATTCAGTGTTTTTGAAATATTTTTACAGGCTTTTTATTTTGTCTGTACATGTTTCTCTCCCAGACCTTCAGTGAGGTCTGCCTTGTGCTCCTTCATAAATTAAAGTGCAAATTAATGGGATATGAGATAATTGCAAACATTTTGCTTTCATGCTATACTTCTGCACTCCTGATTGCTGCAGTCTTTTTTTTTCCCTTTAACATTGACATACTTGGAGCATGCTGTAGAGACCGTCACAGTAACCATACTAAAGTGTGGGGGGGGGAAGCAAAAATACAGATACCTGTCGTCATAAAGATGGCAGGTCAGCTTTGTTACCAGTATAAATTGTTTTACTGCCATTGGAGTGCCATGGTTTTTCAGTCTGAGGGCCACACGCTGTTCAGAAGTAGCAAGCAGTTACATGTGAGCAGCTGAGCTCTAGTGTAGCTCATGCTGAGCTCGTGCTGGTGTCCAAAGGGGTCAGAGGGCTTTTAGCAGACACTGAGCTTCTCATACAGTAACAGGATGTCAGAAATTCTGCAAAAGCTTTAAAAACAAAGTAGGAGATGACACGCTGATGCATTTCATCCTGTAAGGTTTGCTTATCTCATTTGTGCTAGTATTTGAAGCTGACTTTCGTAAGAAATGACCCATGTTCCCAAGGCGGTTTTGTAAATCGGGGATGCTAGTTTCACGAAAAGAAAGGAGCTTGATGAATCTGTAGTCACACATTGTTGTAATTCTGGTGGGAATACGTTCCCTTCTAAATATGAGGCGCACTTCAGAGTTAGTATGTGAACTTGTACCTGTTTCAGTTAAAATTGTGGATTGCTCAAATTCAGTGCTTTGTATCAGCAACAAGTTTAGCTTTAGGAGAATTCAGACATATACTGCAAGACTTAAGAAACTTGAAAATCCAGTTGGGTTGGTTTGGTTTACTTCTTGTCTAAAATTTGTATTTGTGCGGAAAGACTGCTTTTCATTCCATAATTTTAGTTAAAGGACAACTGTGAAGCAATTTTCCATTTCTTTAAAATTTGCCATCGGGCAAAAATTGCTCATGTTATTCTGAGAAGGAGATGTTTTTAATAAGAATGCCACATGTTAATACCCAGCAACTATGAACTATTCATTCGATATCTGCAACATTTGTTGAATCTTGTTAGTCAAGCAATTACAGAGTCACTTGTCCCCCAAAGTTTTAAAAAGAATAAAGCTAAACTTCTCATTGCATTAGATTTATTTTTAAACAGCATTTTCCAGAATGTACAGATGTGAATGATAGAACAACAGCAGTGCAGCTTGGTTGTAGGCCATGATGAAGCTCCATACTATGTAAGAAGTTTAAAGCAGGGATATGAAATGGTCTTTTCTAAAACAAAGTAAGCCTTGGCTTCAGATACTTAGAAGTAGCCCTCATTCTCCTTGCATATCAGAATATGACTGTTTTAATTCTAAATTATGAATATTTTGGGTTTTTTCTTGTTGGTGGTCCCCTCCTGCCCTGCCTTCATTGAAACCCAAGGTTTGAGGGAAGCAAACACACTACAAGGGAAAACTAAAATTGACTGTAAAAGGTGCTTGTATCGCTCAGTGAAGTATTTTAACAAGTGCGTAATGCTAACACAGAGGTGCAAGGTGTGGGATTAAATGGCAAATTGCAGCCTTCTGTTTAGAACTATAATTAAGTATAATATCATATATGATGGTAATAATTGCATCCAGGCTATGGCTATAGGTTTGCCAGTTGTACCCCTTGTCTTGAGATCCCCAAATCGTACAAACATATGGTTCTCATATCCAGTTGGGGACCATGGTGGGTAGAGAATAAGGGAACCTAACGATACAAATTTGAAATGCTCCATCCTCTTCTCTGATGTCTCATTGTCCTCTGAACTGTTTTTTCATCCTTTCTTCAATGGACTGGTTATTGGCCACAGCTTGAGGTCCACACTCCGAGTTCCGGGAGTGCTTCACATTGAAGCAGTGGGTCGTTACTCTCAGACCACCCTGGCTTCCATTATTTGGAGCTGCCTGTATCAATATCAGTCCTACGTCTCTTTCCTCTCTCTTGTAAGCCTCACGTTAAACTTAATGTTTTCTATTTTAACTTCAGAGCCCTGTCTGAGAGCTAGAAGCTATCGTCCCAAAACAGCTTGTATGTTCATCGTATCAGCTAGCTCTCCTCCTGCCTTTGCCACTTCGTACCAAAGTCCTGGCATGTTGTCAGCTGGGTGGAGGAAATGTAACTGCTAGCACTTGATTCTGCAATGGTTCAAACTCAGCAGAGGAGACTGAATTAGCAGTCCCCATCTTGGAGGAATAGCAAGTTAAAACTAAAGTGTCGGAAATCTGGTCACAGCTTTTAAGTGGTTCAGAGAGTCCCATTCTCTTCTCACTTGCCTGCTCCTTGGATGCATACACACAAACACACAGGTGCCCCGTTTGCCTGCTACGCTATTTGCAAATATCTGTGCACGTTCCTGATTTTCGTAACAGCCTCCTGTGCAACTGGGTGCCTGTTACCTTGTGCATCAATATAACCAGTGCTGCCTTCAGCAAGACCAAGCGAGGTCTTCCCAGTGGTCTTCCCCCTCCTCCATCCACATCCTGTCTGCCTGTCTGTGTCCCACAGTTCGCCCCATGAACACACTCAGCACAGCAGGCCCTGTGTTTTAACATCAACTGGTGAGACCCTCGCTGCACCTGCAGCTGCTCTGAGTGTAACCAGGAGCAGCTTACGCTGCAGTTACTCTCAGGAGTAACCCAATTTGCAAAATGCAACGTACATCAGCGCTGTACTGGACTGTTCATATGCCAAGCAGTCCATAGGAATGATCTGAATGATCCTGGGCTGTACTCGCTCATCTGCGTCACACACCGAGTAATGCCACGGGCACTGACCTAGCTGCAGATCCATCCTGCTGTTTTCATTGCTTTTCCCATTTTTCTATGTTCTCTGAAAGATAGGCCCATACTTAAACTAGAACATCATTATTCTTCCATCTTAGGAGTTGCTCCACAACTTGATCATTAACTTCAGGAGTGGATCATTTGCACAGATGCAGAGCATGTTTCAACCTTTGCTGAGCCAGTCACAAAGCTGGCAAAATGCTATTTGCTGTTTGGTCAGTTTATTTTTTTGTTGAGTTAGCGAGCTGAATTTGGCTGAGCAGAGAGTCCAACAAGTAGCAGGGCTGGCAAATGAGGAGGTGCAGGACCATATGTCCAGGAGCAGGGGAGTGGGAAGCAAGGGCAGCCTTTGGTGACAGCAAGCCATTAATTTGCCTGAGCTGTGTTGTTAAGGCATGCTCACAGTGAAGCCAAAAAATACTTTGAATGTCATGTAAGCATGTAATTCATTAAGACCATGCCATAAAAGCTTTAATTCCTGGTAGTCTCTTGTTGTGGCTACCCGCAAAATATTGAGGTTAATCAAGATCGCGTATAGTATTCTTTCTAATTACAGAGTTGGTCTACAAAAGCAACCATCTTTCTGCATGGATTTTTTTTTTCTATTTCAGAAGGAAGATGTCATTAATGCAGAAAGGGATGAAAGACTGTCGCTTCGGAAGCATCGCTTCATGCATTTTGCATCACTGGAATATGAAGGAGAATATTACATGACACCGAGAGATTTCTTGTTCTCAGTAATGTTTGATCAAGTTGAACGTAAGTTTTTTTCTCATCACTGTATGTGTGAAGGAAAATAAACTTGCAGGTTCCCTTAAAGATGTAATTTGCAAATCACTGGGATAAGATCCTTTATCTGACATAAACCAGCAGAAGCCAATTTATACATGTTGTGCATATGGATTCTCACAGGCACCACCACCATTTACACCAGTGAAGTAAATTTAGAAATCTGGTGGCTTGACGATGACATTACGTCTCTGCATCATTTGCATGTCTGAGCAGTATGTAGTTCCTCAATTACTTACATGCCACAGAAAGTAGTAGGACTGTAATATAATAGTGTTATACCATTCCTGACCCTGTTAACTGTCTCTCCGTTTCACCAGTAAGTACTATGTGATCGTTTTTGCTACAAGAGGCAGTGATGGGAGAGACTGGAATGAGTGTGATAAAGCATTGAGCTCAGCTCTAGGTTTCTGGTTTTCAAACCTCCTCTGGTTTATACAAAACCTAGTTAAGAACAAATCACAGTTGTATGCAGGTTTTTAAAAAAGTACTTTTAAAAGCATGCTTTCTGAGGAGAAGATAGGACCAGCAAACAAATGGTCCTCCTTTCCTTCTGGTTTTCTGGCCTCATTAACTCTGCCATTAAGCTTTTCTTAAGCTTCTTTTACCTGTCTTTGTATCATCTTATGTAATTTCCATGTTAGAGTAGTTTTTTTTAAATGGTATATGTCTTTCCTCAAAAAAAAAAGGCTTTTACAGCTATCCCAAGAATTTTTTTGCTGTTGAAAGGTTAAGTTCTCAAAGTTTCAGAGAGGATTGTCATTCAGAGAACGAATACTCTATGTCAATATGTCTGCTGAGGGAAAG